GTTCACCTTGTGGTCTCACGTGAGCAGGTGTTTCTCAGCACTGGCAGTGGGTTGCCCTTTCCTAAAATTGCCTTTTTCAAATCTATGGGTGCTGTTATGTTTTTTTCACACAGTTCTTAATCTACTTTGAAGCATTTTCTTTCAAAACCTGGAAGATGAGATGCACAAGTGAAAAGCCTTTAGCTGATGTTGTTGGAAATAGAAGGAAAGCACAGCTTGTGCTCTGTCTAGAAAAGAGGAAATGACCAAAGAAAGCAGGGCTGTTCTCATGTGCGCCCTCCTCTTAATTTTAAAAATAATGGCTGTGTAGATTCTTTAATTTTGATGGAAATGTCTGATTGGTTCTCACACAGTGGTGTTTCATTAGTGTGTAATTGTTGGGTCAATGTGCCTGTTATTTGTTTTGTTCTGCTCATTGGTTGCACTTTTCATTCTCTGCTTTTTCAGGAACTTGCACTTTGCACAACAAAATGCTCAGAGTTTATCCCAATGGAGCAACATTGGTCAGAAATGGCATTAAATGGAAGCAGAAGACCACAGGGACCTGTGGCTGGAATGGCAGAGAAGGTGAGGGAGCTCATTCTCCTCCATTTACTCCCAAATATATGCTCTCTTTTTCTGAAACATGACCTGTAAGGGAGGCCTTCTAATTAGAAAAAGTAATTAGAAAACTGAGGCAGGGAGACACTCAGAGCTGAGCTGTTCTTGGTTTTCTCCACTGATCTGTCAGTGAGGGAATCGGGAACACAGATTCCCTCAGAGCATTAAACACCTTTCAGATGGAGAAACTGCTGGTGAGAGGGAAGTGCGTCTGCTCACCWTGCTGCCTGCACACCCTGGCTGGATCTGGGACTGCACAGGGCTGTGCACAGGGTGTGGGTGTGCGCAGACAGCCGTGGGGGAGCAGGAGAACAAGGAGGAAGCAGAGGAAGAAACCTCTTCCCTCGCATCCCCCATGTGCAGAGGAGGGAGCTGCAAGCAGGACAGAGGCACCGGAGCTGGGGCTGGGAAGGGGAGGCAAAGGAAGCAGGGGGTGAGTGACTGTCGTGGTTTAGA